AATTAAGAGAAAAATGAGAATTATTTATAATTCAGGAATGCAGTTTATGAGGATTCAATTATTGACTACGAATTTTGACTAGAAGCGTTACTTTCTAATTAAATGAGAGTTGTTATGAATAAATTTTTTTACACTACTTATTTGAAAAAAAATAATGTAATCTAATTAATGAATTTATAGTTGTATTTGTGTTATTTGTCTTAGAAAAATATGTGAGGATACTATCATTATCCTATTTATTTATAATATATTCAAAAATTAATAAATGTGGGTTTAAAATTTATTGCATTTGTGTATTTATGTTGTATATTTACTGTGTCTGTCAAGTCCCTACATTTTTGAGCATGAGAATAATTGAATGAGGTTATTGATTTTTTTTTCCTTTGCATAGGTTACTCACAACGCAAACCTAAAAGTTAAATTGTACTACCACTACCATTTTTCTTTCGGTGACGAATGTTTATAAGAATGTCGGTATGATATGATATACCATATGCTGTATGAATGATGAATATTATTAATTATTTGATTTTGATTTTAGTGAGTTTGTCCGGCACAACAGTCAGTTAAGTTAAATATATATAGGAATAAGGTATTAATACTCCAACGTAAATTTTACTATTTAACAATAGTAAAAGTTATGTATTTATCAAGAAGACAAATACATGTACATCATCATTCAATAAGTTCAAACCCTTATGCATTGATACAAGATTGAATTCTGTGTAATACTAAATTACTTTCTTTCTTGTGTAACTTACGAGTAAATAAAAACTGTGTTTACCTAGAACGACATCCACGAAGTTTCTCTTTCTTTGGGCGAATAGTTGTTATCTGTTTTCTTATCATCGGTTCTCGAATCAATATCGATTCCTTGAAGAATACGTAGATGGTTTCAAATTTGGACTATTTACTGAAATTACATAGCAAAATAAGAAAATGTTTTGACTTATTCTTACTTTTGAGTTGTAGAAATTCATAACCATGATGAGGTACAGGCATCATGAACTTTGTGAAATGATCTGCAGTAACGAACACCATGTCTCTTGGTAAAGAGTTTCTAATGATATATTCCTTACCAGAATGGAATTGTGTAGCTTATCCAGATTTTGTGTATTTAGATCCGATAAACAACGCTGCAGTTTTACAAACGCTAAATGAGCATCATAGTTGTTACTCACTTTTTTGCTGGAAGAAGTCAAACAGATCAATGATAGTGCATCATATAAATGGATCTACACCCAAATGAAAGGTTGATAACATAACTTCCGCAAAGTCTGAGATACCTTCATATTTTTATTGAGCCTATATCAACTTGCAGATTTCCTTGATTGTATGATAAGAGACAGTTTGAGGTTTGCTTTACACAAATAGGCCCTTACATCTGCTTCAATCAGTTTAACATGTGAATTAGGGCTCTAGTTTCGAATCTTTCATTAGAAATTGAAATGTTCCTGAGTCCATATGAATCACAAACTTGTAAATTATGATATAAGAAATAGAACTCGGGGTAAGTATTTTTTATAAACCATCATACCACGCTCTTTATAATGATAGCAGAAGCTTCCAGATTTGAATTCAATATTATTTACAAGAATATGGGTATCTGTTACTTGGAACGATTTGGAAAAATATTGGTTGGCACGATCATTTTTCCTTTCCGGCCTTTCCATGGTCACACTTTAGCCATGTTTCAATGCTTTACTAGAATTCTTGCAAAAGAGGTATGTTTTTGGCGTAGTCAAAAATTTAAGTAAAAAATTGGTAGTTCTTAAACTGTGGTGCACACTCACCTTGGAGTATGCGAGAAGCTATCAATACTGTTCTTTATCCTTTTAAGTTTACAAGTAAAGAAAATAATTTTTGTCGCCATAACAGAATACATAATTCATTCCTATTATTTCTTATTTTCTTCAAAAGAATGATCAATTTTACAGTCAGCGCTCAGCTGGCTCCAGCTACCGTCAGTTCGTAGAGATATGTAATAAAGGCCATTTTTGATTTTAAATAAAGATCTTTAGTTGTAATATCTGAACGGAGTTGTTCATTCCTATAAAATTTGCATTTAATATTCTATTTTTCCTTCTACAAAGAGTTGAGTTTAACTTCTTTTCTTTTTACTTTAAAAGAGCGCATCTTATTGGGACAGTTAGGATGGGTAAATATATAATTACATTAACCTGGATCCTTAAAAGCGTCGAATGCAAAAATAATTCCGAGCCTATGCAATGCAAATGTTATTTGCTTATGACTACTCATCAATAAAAATCACGGTAAGAGTTTAGAAGTATGCTTCTGAATGATGTTATGTGGATATTTTCGTAGGAAGGATTTGTGTAAAAATTTACTCTGTCTCAAAGGAGTCAGAGTAAGTCTGAACGGAGAACCTCTCCGCAATTACACTCATGTCCATAAATTAAGGATAATTCGGAGTCACGCGGAAATCGAACTCTAAAATAAATATATCACCGTAAAATCACTACAACAATCTTCAAGATATATGCAAATTTCGGAATACCGGATGACACCGATGGTCGTCACAATGACTAGTGTAAGATGTAATCTAAGGAATACAGGCATGAGTAATTGTTCGCATCCTTTAAAGCGTTCAGTGCATACCAATGTTATGCACAAAGAGCATTTGGATTATTTTACGTGGTAGAATTATCGGCCGTCTGGATGTGGCGTACCCACTAAAGTAGCCGACGAAATGGAATTGCCCAAAGTGTCATCTCCAGCTTACAACGATTCCAAGATATGTAATTGAGTAATTACAGCACAGGTCAGAGAGTTAAACGCCGAAGAGGACTATTTGGCAGCTACTGCCAAAAGCGACAGGCGGAGTCCCCTCAGACCTGTCCGTCAGCCTTTCAGCCAGCTGGTACGACAATTTAGGCAACATGGCCCTATATGCTCGTAGAACTGTAAGATGCTCACTTATGCAATCATGTCGCCAGCGGTAGCTTGGAATAGAAGCATGCATGTGGGCACCGCAAAGTGGACTTGGTGATGTTTTCCGACGAATCCAGGTTTAGTTGTGATTCTCGCGGACTTTCTATGGGAGCAGTACCGTTATACCAAGAAACATCATGAACGACAACCGTTACGGTGGTAGAGTGCTCGTTTGGAGTGGAATTCTGGTTCAGAACTGAAGGCATGTTCAAATTGGAACCATGACAAGACAAATCTATCGGGACGTCATCTGGAACAACAGTACGCTGTCTGGGGCACGGGCGCACACAAATTGTTTATGGATGACAACGCCCGTCTTACCGACAAACATCGTAAGCGAAAGCCTCAATCGGAGATATCCCGTTGGACTGGCCGCATTCTCACCGACTTCTTGAACCAGTAGAACACGTATGGGACATGTGGCCGACGAATTGCAGCCCGTCAACCTTCTCCATATCTACCGAACTGGAGAATGCTTTTTGAGTGGAATAATCCCCAGATCGATGATAATTTGATACTCAGCCATGCCTAGGTGTTGTATGGGCATGCGTATTGCATCGTCTGGGGAACACAATGTATTAAATCAACAAACCAAGGTAATATGGTTTTTGTAAATAGGTTTTTTTTTTTTTTTTTGTAATTTGCTCCTGGGAGAAAAAATCGCTATTTTTTTAATAATATCAACAGTACGTTTTTTGCTCTTTACTTTTTGTTAATAATAAGCTTTACAAATGATCAAATTTGTTTGCTTCTAACTCTTCCTTTGCATGATTTTGCATTATTTTTAATTTATGGACATGAGTGTAAATAAAGAATAAAAAAGGTATTTTCGAAAGGTGAAAGCTCGAAAATTCGGTTTGAGAAAAAAAAAACTTTGATTAATAAAATATTTATTTTTTTTTCTCCCGAAATAAACACTGTGAACATTTCATTTAGAATGTGTTAAGGAATACAAAGAATTGAAAGCTAATTCCGAAAGCCAGCTTTATTTACAGCATACTGCCAAAAACGTCATGCTCAAGCTTTTGGTGCTTAGCAGGATAACATCAAACCGAAATAAATCGCTTTCAATCGCAATTTACAAACATTTCAGTGATACTTCAATTGGCAGCAAACATGACCTGGAAATTCTGCATATTAAAACAGATATCCAGAAAGTTCTATTTACAATTAAACAATCCGCTGAGTTTATCGAACATTATAAATCACACAAACACGATTTCAAATTCATGACAAAATATTGAAATCACAAACTAAAGCCACACTGGATGTCAAAGCAGCGAAAAAAGCCTATGCATTGACAAAAACAGCAGCGATTAATTAATGAAGTTAATTTGTTTATATATCATGAAATCATCGGTATTTAAAAACTTTGACGAAAAAAGAAAGCCTTAATAATCTAAACGTATGAAGGAACAGTGCACTAGAAGGAAGTAGAATGGACTTGAGCGAGACCAGTTCGCGTTCAGAAAACACTTCATGAACCGTTTCATTCATTGAGTTTTAAATTGCTGGATTATTATTTTGGAAAGTTTTGCTTTTGGACGCGGGACCTACGTAAAATTATTTTATAAATATGTCAATTATTTCGCAAACTTTTTGAATTTGTCTCTGCTTTTAATGAAATAACTTCGCAATTTGTTTTTGCACTGCATAGTTCGGTGTATATATTTTATATTTATATGTATGGGTTATATTAATAAAGAGCCCCTGATTACTTTTACTGTTTCTCTAAGACTATTTTTACACTTTATGTCTTTTTCGATTCAGAAACTCCCTGCCTTATTTCTTTACACCAACCCTCTGATGATCGATGCAGCGAAAGATGAGCATTTCATTTTCGGTTTCGCCATATTTTGGCTCCCCTCTGTTTTCTGCAGTTTGCCACTCTGCTTCTCGGATTTTGATTTTAAGCAATGATGTATTCTGAATTGAACTCGTGATGAATATCTAATTTATTTTTGTTGCATTATATATATATATCAATACGTATGTATGCATGCATGTATTTCTCTGCTTAGTAGGTAAATAGGCTGATAACTATATTTAGTTTTTTCACTTACAGAATGCAAATGTGGTGAAGGCTCTAACTGTACATTTAATGTTTATGGCGACAAATTCTGCATTTGTAAAGAAGGGTACATACAAGAAAATGGCAGATGTGAAAGTAAGTTATATTGTACGAAATCATTGAATATCCATCGTTAATACATAGGGATAAAAGGCAATACTAATCTAATGATTTATAAAAATGTAAGCCTATAATTATGATGCAGTATGATGATTTGTTGTTTGACTTCTAAATTGTTTTAAAGCCTAAGTTTGTCAGTCAGTGAATGGTAAGAAACTACTGCAAGAGAACTAGTTTTTATTTAGCTGAATTATATGTTATTATTTAAATAAGACAGATAATGAATCACTTGAAACCCAAGATTATATTTTCATTAAACCTAGTCGTTAACTGGAGATAAGAAAATAAACATATTAATTTATATCTAAGTGAGAAAACTACAGTCTCTCTTTTTTAAGAAATTTCAATAAAGGAAATCATTTTGCGGCTTTTTTTGGCTAAACAAAACAGTAGAAATATCCGAAATGCTTTCTTAATGAATCTTCTAAAAGCCTATATGACCCTTCTTTGGCTTTTTCAGCCTTCGGAGTTATTTAATCTCTATTTCGTTCCTTTATTAGAAGTATTTGTGAACATCTGGACCATCAGACATCTACAAAATCGACAGATCGGACATTTAACAAACAACGTCCTCTAGACGCCACAAGTTGTCTCTCATTCATTTTAGTTGTTTTTAACTTTTTTTATTCAATTATAATGAATTTCAGATGTCAGTCCTAAAGTTTATTTCATTATGATTGCATTATATTCTCTAAGATTGTTAATGTTGTTTTAATGTTGATTGATACATCATGTTGTATACTGAGAAACTTTGATTCATTCTGACATTTCAACATGCTTTTTCCCCATTGTGTGTAATTGCAAACATTTATCTTTGTATAATGTCAACATTGTGTATAATTGCATTTACAACATTTTTTACATTTGTTAAATTGTGCCACTTGTGTTAGAATGCATTTACCCAAATTTTACATTGTGTATAATTGCAACTGTTTATAAACGAAAGCTTTTAGGAAGACATTTACATGGAATTTTAAGCTCTATGCTGGACCCATCGTGAATGATTAAAACCCCCCCCATGTCTCAAAGCTTGTCCATTACATAAATAACTCGTAATTACTATATTTTAAATCCCATAAATTAATTTGCCATGGAAGCCCGTATAATCCTAAAATCTTTCTTCAACTTTAAGTTCCGGCAAGTTAAGCGATTAAAAGTTTTTTTCATAAATTTCTTCTTAATAAAACTTCTTAAAACATCTTAAAATGTCTACGTTAAAAAAATTAGTGTTAAATATATAAAGATTATATTAGTGAAATAATAAGAATTTACTTAACTAATATAAGCAAATATATTAAATATTTATATTATTCAAGGTTAATCATGTACCGGTGTATTAATATGTTGAGCTCTGCCTCTCCCGCTGCCCCTTCACCTTCGCCCCCCCACTTCGTTTTTCCCTCATTCCCGCATATTTTTAAATCAACCAAATAATTTCAATAATAAAATTGAAATGCTGTGAATCTGTCTTTGTTACAATTTTTTACAAAAGGAATAACCCATTAAAACATCTAAAATACCTCCCTTAAACATGCCGTTTATTATCTATAGCAAAATCGATTTTATTCATTTTAATGAAATTTAAAGATTATTTTAAATATACCAATTTTCCCAATTAATGACTTCCATATTAAAATATGCTTCAACTACACAAAACACTAATTAGTATTATCAAACCATTTATTGACCAAATTTGCTTCTGCCATGAATCAATCTATTCTTTTTTGAATGCGTTAACACAAGCACATTATTATGCCATGTCTTAATATTATTAAAAACCAAAAACCAACAATATAAGGAATTCATGAAATTTAGCACCATATTCAGAATTAAATATACTCCTAGTAAGAATGTTTGCCTTAAAAAGATTAAACACAGCCTTGATCAATTTAAAACACTACCAAATGCAAATACAGCTGACCAATCAACTGCTTTGAAAAATGGAACACAATGTTTCAGTCGGATTGAAAATAAAATTTGTTAAGCTTAAGGTCAATAATATTAACAGCATCAGTTTTAACTACAAGGAATTTAAGAAAGTACTGAAGAATATAAAACCCATTTTATTATTACCACTATTCACAAATTCAACAACAATTTTTTTATTGTTCGAATTTTATATAAGTCAAATTATATGTGAAATTATAGTATATCTTGTGTAATTCAAAATGAAGTACTTCTAAAATCCTAGATGTACCCCAAAAATACTATTACAGTAGCATGTCTATTTAACATTAAGGTAAATGGCCATCTTTCTAAATTGGCGAGCCAAGCTGACGATGGTTTTGGCGACTTATTTTTGTCCCCAAATCTGGCCAAAAATCGCTAAAAGTAGCCAAACGGTGACCATTTTTTTAATATCTTAGGCTGGTATCTATATAATAGTAATTGATACTGTAAATGAATGATTGTAACAGATGCCTATACGTAACTGTCAACGTATCTGGCCCTTGCATGTAACTTTAACCGTATATACCTTCCATAAAATTCCAAGAAATAGAAGATACTACAGATTTCTCAGCAGCAGAGGAATAACTATACACAACAAGAGAAAGGATCATTTTCTCGCTTTTTCAGTTCGGAGGTGATTTCGGACTTTTGAGAGATCTCCGAGAGATTGCACTGCATTGTGTGTAATGTTCCTAGTAGTTTGAAGTGGTAACTACTGTCAGTGGGGGGATCGAACCCCAGACTTGTGGTGCAGCTGCGCGACGCGCTAGCCACTTAGCTTTCATACTTCTTAATATCACCGGGCTTCATACTTCTATTTATATTTCTTTATATTTAATATAAATTCTTTATATTTCATAATATATTTCTTATATAGTTAATGTAAATTCTTTATATTTCATAATATATATCTTATATATTTAACATAATTTTGTCACGTTTAACCATCGGAATTATGTGCATTCAGTTAATTATGAAGCTGCACGCCTTCAACAGTATTATTCGCAAAAGCATTCTATTTTAATGTTGTTAACAATGAACTTAATAACTGGATTACTCACCAAAACTTTAAATTTCAAGAAAATTCACTTATTAAAATAATTTGGCATTTTAAAAAAGTTTAAATTACCAAATTACCTTTAAACCGCACTATATTAAATTCTCTAATTTGTATGCATTTTTCCAGAATTTCAAAACATTCTAATTAAATTCAGATTTATTGCAAATAGCTATTAATTACAAAAAGGGAATCGATATTAATTTCACAAAAATTCTCAAAAACCAGAAGAAAGGATGCAGAAGAAAATTAATATTGAAACACATAAAAACTGGATTAACAACAATTATCAGAGAGACTTTTAAAATCTAAAGTTAGAAATTTACAATATTAAGTACTACAATTTTAAGGATTACAGCACCTTGCCCCTTAATTTAATTTAAAATTTAGTTCATCTCTATCACCTATTTCTCAGAATTAAAATATTAATTAATTTCTACAAATGTGACACTTATCTTCATTCTACACATTTTCACAATTTTATTAAATACCAAAATAAAATCTTTTTTCAAATTAGCGATATTCCTACAGGAAACAACTCGTCAGCTGTCATCTGCAACCTGTTTCTCTTTGTTAAAGATTATAATTTTGCAAACAATTACCATAAACAGAACTAAATTTATATTAAATAATTAAGAACTAAATTAAATTTACTTACAGGCACGTTGATGACATCATTGCCATTAGTAATTACAATGAAGTTGAAAAACAAGATATCTATCCTCAATGCATTAAGTTTAATAAAACTAACAAAGAAGTCTTCACCTATAAGTATACAAACTCAACCATATTATTTTATTTGATAAAAGAAGTTTTCCAGTTCCAAAGTAATTCAATTAATTTAAATGGAATTCTAACACCTCCAGGAAAATGAATTATAATAATATTATTATTCAAAAGAAATGAAAAGTATTTGTAATAACAACAAAAATTTTACAAAAAAGTTTAGTTTACTAATTTAAATATTAAAAGATAACAAAATTCCACATAACTTCAGAAAAACCAATTGGCTAAAATATAGTTGTTGATCTAAAAATTACTTTTAATACCAAACAGCTGTTTTCCATTTCGTTTCATTTTACAATCATTTTTCATTTATTTCTATATCAAAGCGTATTGACGATATAGTTTAAATGTTCTTAAAAACACTGTATAATTTCTAACTCTGGTGTTAATTTATATTAGACTGCTTAATAAATTTATATCTCTTTTATTAACAAAATGAGCCTACTTTAGCTTCCAGGACTCAATAAAGATCTTTTGAGTGAGTTCTATATTCTTGAAAATTTGACAGCTTCTTTCGATTTCTGATTATATTCCCTTTTAGGTTACCTGTAATTTAGAGCAATTTTTCTAAATTCTTGTTTTGCATTCTCTAAGTTTCCTCAAAACTTTACTGACAGTTTAATAGATACAACCTCACAATTATTTTATTTATTTTTTATTCACAAAAAAATTAAGTTTTCTATTTTTACAAAAATATTTCATTTTTCTTCTTTCACAAATATTTGTTTCAATATACATTTCGATATGCATAAAAATATTTGAACTATTTTGCTATTTAACACTACAACGTATTCCATTTGTTAAATTAAACACTGTGTCTTATTTCATTCGTTAAAATGAAACGAATTAAAACTGCGCTTGAACTCAAATTGCAACCATTTTAAGTTTCTTAATCCATGAATTTCGATAATTTTTCCTTTTGCAACTTATTCATTTTTATTACTCTATATTTTCTTTTACAATAGGAGTTTTTTCCTGATTATTCTTATTGATTTTAATCAGTTTTTAATTCGTAGTTTTCTAAATTCAGTACATAACACATTTTGACTTTACTATTATACAAGAGAATATACACTCTTTTGCAAAAAAGTCGAAGCATCAAAAAGAACTTTTGCGATCGTGACGAAATTTGGTGTGCAAAAACATCCTGATCGAACATGCAGAGGATCAATGTTTCATGGCAAATGAACAGGAATTGCGATCATAGCGCGCAATTCGCAAAGTATAAAACCAGTAACAGACGCGGAAATTCTATCTTATACGTCTATACCACCCATGGTACCGTCCACTATCTCACGGCGCTTGTTTGAGGCGGGGTTACGCTTACAGAGGCCTTTAAGACGTTTGCCGTTGACCCACAACATCAGCGGATTCGTCTGAGTAGTGTCGCAGCCGATCATCATGGTTGCCATCAGACTGGCATCGTATAGTGTTCGTGATGAATCCCGCTTCACTTCTGAAGCAGATGATAACCGTGTTCGTGTCTGGAGAGAACGGGGTCAGCGGTCTCAATCAACCTTTGTTTTACAAAGGCATACAGCCATAACCCCTAGTGTGATGGTATGGGTCCTCTATTTCTTATGACAGCAGGTCATCTTTAGTCATTCTCCGTACATCTTAAACAGCTCAACGATATGTTGATACCATCCTGCAGCCGGTTGCATTACCCTTCTTGGCGCGTCATCCTGGCGCCAGGCCACATACCGCTCGCATATCTCTGGACTGTCTCCGTGCGGTTGATACTGTTCCATGGCCAGCAAGATCACCAGACCTTTCAATAATCGAGCACGTCTGGAGCATGGTAGGCAGCCAGATTCGGGCACCACAAAATATCGCAGATATGGAGCGACAACTGATGAATGCCTAGCAGAATGTGTCACAGGATGACATCAGAAACCTCTACCACTCCTTGCCTCTACGAATTCAAGCATGCATTGTCGCCTGGGACAGTTCGAACAACTACTAATTTGAATTCTCAACGGGTGATTGTGAGCCGTGACCAGGTACCATTTTATTATCCGTGTATGAGCTATACACATATTCAGTTTCATCAGAAACAACCACTTTCTTCATGGTGCTTCGATTTTTCTGCAAAAGTGTGTATTTTTTAAATCTCGAAACATCCGTTGCTCTTGCATTATAGATTTTAAGAACTTACTGCTTAATTTTTGTTTATTTTACGTTTTTTGGATCAAATTTCATTTATTTTTTCATATATCTCTGTTTTACATGTTTTTGGACTCCATCTGCTAAAATTGTAAAGATATTTTTAAAAAATTTCAACTTTATTGCTTTCTGATGATTTATGCTATTTTTTAATCCATTCTGTAAGTTTTCAAACCTTCCAAATATTGTATTAAAAATTTGCATCTGATTTTGCTTTTAGGTATTGGATTATTATTTTGGCAAGATTTGCTTTTGGACTCAGTCTATTCAAAATTAGTTTTTTAAATATGTCTATTATTTCGTAGTCTTTTCCAGTTGCCTGTATTTTTGAGGCTATAATTACACAGTTTTTTTAATTATCTCCTTCTGCCTGTAGCTTTTATGTTTCGATTACTTTTATAGTTTTTCTAAGGCTATTTTTAAACTTTAATATGCATCTATTTCAGTTCAGAAATATGTACGTTCTATTTATTTGTTCCTTTCATTGCACCAACCCCTGGTGACGATACAGTGAACGATGTACATTTAATTTTTGTTTTTGTCTCTTGCAGTTCTCCACTGTACTTTTGGGCTTTTTGGCATGTTATTTGTTACAAATTCAATATGGGATGAATTTCAAACGTATTTTTAATTTTATTTTGCCTTATATTCATATACGAATGCATGTAACATATATAAATCTGCTTTATATACATATACATATTTACCCTTCTAATCAATGCCTAATAATGTCAGATAACTATATTCAATCTTTTCAGAATGCATTTGTGGTGAAGGCTCTACTAACTGTACTGTTAATCATTACGGAGAAAAAGTCTGTACTTGTAAAGAAGGGTATACGCAAGTAAAAGGAAAATGTGAAAGTAAGTTTTATTGCATGCAATCAATGAATATCCGTCATTAATATTTAGAGCTAAAAGGTAATATTAATATAATCATTCATAAATATCTAAGGATATGTTTTTCAGTCAAAACCTACTTTAATGACACTAGTTTTCCTTTATTAATTTGAGAAAGTATTCTCGAATCCAGATTAAGGGTGTCCTTTAAAGTAAATGTTAATGTTTTCATTAAACAGAGTTGTTAAATTGAAAGTAATAAAATACATGTAAGCATGTATAATGGTAATAAAATATTCAAACGTACAACGAAGCGCGAAGCGTACAGACTTCTTTATGAAAATTTCAGTAAACTAAACCATTTTGCAGCTTTGTACATCTAAACTATACGACAGAACTTAAGAACATTTATTTTACGATATTAAATATTGATTTCAAAAGAAATGTGATAAAAATTTCGGTTTCGAATACTTATCAGATCTTTGGACTAATCTATTATCTATTTCGTTCTTCATTAGAAAGTGTGTTGTTATCTCTGATAGGCAAAATCATCTACAAAAGTGATAGTATTTCTTCCTTTCTTTCAGTATCATTTAACTAATATGTCCCCTTGAAAATAAATAAGAGCTTCTATAACAAACATCCATTTTAAGCTGAATTTTACCTAAAATATAAATTTTAAATTATGAAAGACATCGTTCAGATATCAGACCTAAACCTTTGAAGTAGGTCTACATTTGTGAATGGTAATCTCGGGAACAAAAAAATATAAGAAGCAAAACATGTTTTAGTAGAATGCTTACCCAATATACCTCAGTTACACCCCAAGCTATGCTTTTCGCTTATCCACTTATTTGATAATTTCGGAGATCATTAAAATAAACAGAAAATTTTTGAAAATTAGAATAGTGGCTGAACCATAATAGGTTCAAAAGTTAAACAAAAGTATACAATATTTTGATAACGTCACAAGTGCGCGAGCACGGGTTAGGTTACCGTTCAGTTCTATATCGAAATCGATGGCGAGCCGAGACGGATTATGGAAAGATTCATCAAATATATATGTTAAAAGAGTTTAGCTGTAAAAAGGAAATAACGTAAAAAACGATCTTAAGAAAATAAAATTAACTTAAATTGTTGGTTTTTAAATAAATCAAGGTGTTTTAACTTCTACTGCGGCAAACAATATGTCAAATTTGGTGTAGCTTTACCAGATTATTGTTCAGAGCTTCTTCACTGGTATTTGTCAAAAAACAATCATCAGTCGGGTACATAATATGTTGTCAAAATCTTCAGAGATAATGAATTTGGACATGCCTGCAATATTTGTGACAGATTGTGGTTTATGAAAAGCGAAACACCGACTAATAAAATGAAAACGTTTATCTTTGTTGTGAACATCGACAAGGATATACCAATGTTTGTTATGGAAGATTTTAATATCGATGTAAAACGAAATGAAAAATCTTTCAGTTTTATGAAATAGTGCTTTAATCTTAACCTGCCACCAGCCAAATATTGCAGTACTTTAGGGAATTCATACATGGATTTTTCTTTTACAAGAAGCATCAGCTGTTAACTGCTGAATTATTTTTAGTATCTTTGACGAATTTTATTTAAAGTTTCTCTACCTCACGCTGTATTCAGGAATAAGGTTAAGTAATTATTATTATTTTCTTTATTCTGTTCTTCAAATTTTCCTAAACGTTCATTCTTTAAAGTAACAAATAGTAAGATAACAAAAAAAGAAAACTTAATCAATAAAATAAAAATTAAAAAACATTAAAAGAACCTTAGGAACTATTCCTAAGCATCTAAACCCAGCAGCCGTTTGGAACAAATGTAAAAGTCTCCCGTCAATATTTTCTTTTCATTGCGTTATATTTCCTAAGATTGTAATTATTTTACTGACAAGGCGGTATATATCTTTTCTGGAATACTTTTATGATTTAAGAAAGTATATATACGGGCACCTTCAAGAAAGTCCAAGAAATCAAGGTACTACACTGGTTTCTAACATTAAGGAAAAATCACTAAAATAGCAATAGCACTTTCAAAAATAAGCCAATCCGTGTAAAATTTTAATATACTAAGAATTGTGGGGTAAACGTGCAGTATGCAAATTAGTGGTGCTGCAACAGAAATGCGTCGTTTGCAAGGATTACAACATTGCAAATTTCGTTGATACAGAGATAAGAAGTCTGGGATAGATCATTTGTAACAATGACATCGTTTCCCCGAAGAACTGCAATGGAGAACTATTGAGAGGCTGGAGGTAGGACAAAGTCAGACAGAATTAACAAGATGGCTAAATGTGAGTCGTTCTGCGCTTCATAGACTTTGGCAACAGTTTCTAAAAAACAAATTGGGCAGCTAGGAATTTCAACCAAGGACGATTAATTGCTACGACGAGCCCTGAATGCCGATAGTTTTTGTTATGCCACCAAAGAATAGAAACTAAACTGTCACTCAATTCAGATCCTCTCTTGCTGCAACTACTAGAAAACTGGTGTCAATGTCAACCGTGCGTAGAAGGCTTCACGAAGAAGGCACAAAAATGGCTCTACGCGAGGCGACCAGCCATTTGTGTGCCGCTCACTTCACGTCATAGATGAGAAAGTTTGAGGTGAGCACGTCAACATGTGCACCGGACGGCTGATCAAGGTAGGACTGTTCTTGTTACGAATGAGTCTACTTTCAAGCCTCCAAAGCTATACTAGACGTTGTTTGACTTGTAGAGAACATGGAAACCGTTACCGTTCATCAAACATCCGTGAACGAGATGCATACGGAGGCAGTGTCACAGTTAGGGCTACTATCTCTTTAGGTGGACGCACAGACCTAATTGTCTTTCGACGAGTAACCATGAATGCTGAGGCCTGTACAAATGACATCCTTGACGTCGTTTATGTGCGCCCTTATGCCGGAACAATAGGCAATAATTTCCAGTTGCAGAACGACTACGCTAGACAGCACAGGTATCGCATCGTGGATGATTAGCTTCAACAGCAAACAATTCAGTATATAGCTTGGCCATCTCCCAATCAGCGGACCTGAATCCTATCGAGCATGTTTGAGATGCTATATGTATAACTGTCCTCAATCCTCCTCTTCAGATCCTTACCACGCTTGCTGCTGCTTTGCAAGAGCAATAGCTCTCACTTCCTACGGTACTGATAGACTGTATAACTGACAGCATCGCACATCGCTGCTTTTAGGAGAGATCATACTCCGTATTGAAGTTAAGTTTCCTATACCAAATTTATACTTCTTATTTGTAAATTTTATACATATACTAATTTCTATAACACAATAATTATCTGGTAATTTCTTTTCGTGTTATTGTATACCTTACTATGCAATGTATACTGTGGGTCAGTTTCAATAAATTCTGCATGTAACGTTTTAGGTAATCGTCAATTTTGTGATTTTTTCCCTTAATTAATGGTAACTAGAGTATAACAAAGATATATAAATCCAGGTTTAAAAGGCTAGTGTCATTTTAGCATTAAAAGGAAGCAAGCTTATTTTAGATGATTCTGTTCCCAAACATGAAAACACTTCAGCAGAATTAGGGAAGTTCTGAAACAAAAGAAGAATAATTGTGTGCTACTCTTGTAAGGATCTTAAGTTTTACTAGCGTTTATTTTTATTTTAAATCTTTACTATCACTTCTTATTTTCTACTTCCGGCCAGAATTAAAAGCGTTAACTTATTTATGCAAAATTTGTCTGGCGAACGCCAAGTACTTAAGTTGTGGCTTTTTGCCAAGCGAGAGAGAGGAAGGAGTTAATTGAAGCAGGCTGCTTACCTTAGCAGTTTTACTCAGTTGCTGGTTGCCTTCCAGGCCAGAGGTTTAATCCTCGTGATAATTTTTAAACGTATTGTAGTGTTAACAGTTCTCTGTACTACATACGGCTTCCTGTTAATATAAGGCCAATCTTCCACGTAGGCCCTTGTTTATTATTCCAAAGTTAAGTTAGAATTTAGTTAAATATTTTTATATTCTTACGTTCAGACCACAAGTCGTTGGTCTCTGTATTCCGAAGTACGGAAATTATTGTAAAGAGTGAAAAATAAAGGGTTTCGTATACCCTTCCTGTGTATCTTGTCTACTTCCCACATTTATTTGAACATAGCTTTAGTAAGCTCCCTGTTCCGAGGCAGGTCTGTGCATGTTCCCAAAGAAAGTAAGACGGAACATTGAACCTGATACTCTGATTCCAGGCTAAAGAACGTGTAGTTTCATAGTTTAGGTCAAATCTAGATTTGTCAGTATAATAGTATCCGATGCAGTTCCTTTTTGCTGCACTGAACATGATGGCGATTCCTTCGAAAAGGACTCTTCTATAAGATAAAGTGAATGTGAAACAAAGCATTTCCTGTTCTCGTACGAAATCAGGTTTCGCGAAGCCTTCATGCAATAGTAGTATTTCTGTTTCGAGGTTTTTCGGTAGTTTAAAGGTAAAAATTAGTGTGACCATCAAATATTATCTGTCTGAAATCCTAGATTGCGTTCATGGTGCTTAAAAATATTTATACCTCGTAGTTTTAGGAAGTGAACTTTACCACTGAAGTAATGGATACATAAATAATGAATGTTGACTTAGTGAAGTAGAAATACTTTCGAATGCTCAAAGGAGAACATTTTAGTGCAAAACAGATTGAATGCACTAATATCATAATAAATTACAAAATATAAATTAATTAGAATATTAAATTATTCACATATTTTACTTTCTAATATTATTTCTATTTATCACATCTGTAAGATTTAAGCATATATAATTCTTTTCAAATTTTTCAATTTTATAATTTGTTAAATGAAGGTTACGAAAACTTTTCTCTGCAGCGTTTTAAAATCTGATGAAGCGGCACATATTAAAATCCAGAATTTTCTTCATCTTCCCAGATTATCGAAATTATGCTATATTATACTATTTTCATTCAGTTCTGATCTGAAAGCTATTATGTATACCTCTGTCTACTCATAGATTGCAACTGTGGACCAAATGCTGGTTGTAGATTCGATGTATATGGTCGCAAGAAATGTTTCTGTCTAAAAGGATACAAATATGTGGATGGAAATTGTCAAGGTAACAAATTCAATGAACAAAACTATGTCCTTTCAAATTTTTTCTTAACAGCTGCATTAAAAATATACGTTTATAAACATAATTAAATGGGTAATAAAACGGAGTATATTCTGATTTTTATGTATTTAAATTTAGCATGGGATGTGTTAAATATAACAGACAAATCTCTTTAAAGAAAAACATTTATGAAAAACATGGAATAAACAGTTCTGAAAAAATTTCGTGTTCTTCTAAAAAAATATTGTTGTGTGCGTACGGGTTCGTAATAAACTGAATGCACAAGTCCGATGAAAAGTGAATAAAACAAAATGCTGAAATTTCTTCAGAGATATTTCTTACAATATCACAAAATTTCACAGAAGTTAGCTTCTAAACTACTAAAACGTTGAATAGAATTCAAATTCAAAACAGTAGACAAAACTAATCCAGTCTCGCCGCGATTTCGCTACAATAAACAGCAACAGTTTTCTAAACAACTGAATTGATATGTTTTCCTCCAGATTTTAGAAGCTTTTTTAATCACGCACAAGAATATTCTGGTAAAATCCATTTTATCGATAGCAGAACAGCACAATCACGAGATATCTATTTATTAAAAGTTAAATGCTCGTGCTCTTGCATTTTTAATTTTCCGGCTTAGCATTTCCTTAATATTCGTCACGCGCCGCACTGCACGGGGAATAAAACAATTTAATTTATTTGTTTCAAGTGTAAACATGATGTCAGCTTCTACTGGCAGTTACTAACATTTGATTGGTTCTCAGAACAAGAACAGTGATTGGCTAGGAAAGCTAGACATTGCAATCCACTTCATAACTGTGTTTTTTATTTATATTAAAATGATCCAACACTTAAAAAAAAAAGCGTTCTAGGAGCATTTTTCCTAATCCGAGGTGGTGAAACTTGTAAATAGCTGTACATACTGTAAATATTTCCCCACTAGTGACTTTTGTGTTTTTCAACTTATTTAGGACTTAAAAAAGCTCAGTGGATTACTACTTTATATTATTATTTTCAAGAATTTTATATTTTATTAGTGTTCCTATAAAAAGACTTTGTTAGGGACACACAAACTGAATTAATTATGTGTGTTTCACCATCCCGCCTTCTAAACTGTGACTTATGCTGAAATATTGTGTCTTTTAAAATTACAAGTGTTTCCTAAAAAGTGTGTTTATTCCAGAACTTTGTACAGTGTGAACTGTTTGTGAATACTGTTAATTTATATGACTCTAACATTTCTCGTACGAGAATTCTTGAAATTCACCAGAAATATGTTACTGTTGACTTATTCCTCATTTGAGCCACTCCCACCAGTATAATGACGATCCATTTCGTTCTAAACCTGTTTCAAAAGCATACTTAATTTAAATTACTTAATGTTTATTTTTTCAAATGCTTTATTAAGCCAGAACTTTGTACAGTGTGAACTGTTTGTGAATACTGTTAATTTATATGACTTTAACATTTCTCGTACGAGAATTCTTGAAATTCACCAGAAATATGTTACTATTGACTTATTCCTCATTTGAGCCACTCCCACCAGTATAATGACGATCCGATCCTTTTCGTTCTGAACCTGTTTCAAAGCATACTTAATTTTAAATTACTATGTTAATGTTTATTTTTTCAAATGCTTTATTAAGCAAACTTTTTCAGCTAGTTCTACACTTTTGTCACAGCTCGAACAGCTCCAAGATGTTTTTTCACTCTACATACCTTTGTATTTGCTTCAGCTTCGTCTAGTAGGCGCGGCGTTACACGCCCATTTTTTCAAATATATATACCAACGTCTAAGGGCATTTTTTCGAAAGCGGTGGTTAAAGCAGCAGAGGCTACTAATTGCTTTCTAACCATTCAAAAGACAAGACAAGATATTTATATTAAAGTACATATAACTCTTTTTTGTATTGCAAAGAATTGAATTTTGTGTTTTGCATTGAATTCAGTAATAAATTCTCTTTAAAATGATATATACAAGTAGTTTGCATTTTGCGAAACGTAACATTTTCTATAAACATGCAAAGTTCAAAAACATAAAAATTTCCAAAAGTGTCCACAATTTTGGCCACCACTGTATATACTACTTTGAGTTCTAGTTACTTAGCCACAAGCGGTGCCTAAATTGTGAGAGCCGAGGGAGTACATTTTCTGCTCCGTTTAGTTAAAATAAAAAGTTGTTGTAAATTTCGTCTACAGTCTTATGTTGTTCTAAGATAGAGAAAAAATTCAGGTTTTCGACAGTTTATGCTCCCAAAATACGCAAGGACATTTAACAAAGTGATATATCTTTTAAAAATACAAATTTCATTGTTTATATAGTATCAAATGTGTTTACATACCATTAAAGTTATCTCTTTTCTTTCTAGACCTCTGCAGCCCAAATCCGTGCCTAAATGGAGGTAAATGTAAAATGGTTGATGGTGATTATAACTGCACCTGCGAATTTCCTAATTCGGGAAGGAATTGTGAAAAAGGTATTTTTATTTCCAGCATGAGTCTTTGGAACTAGAGGGATTATAGTTCCAACTCGTCACTTTGAAACAATTTTCATTATAACTGACATTTTATTATTATTTATGTAGAATGTAATTTTAGAATGCGGTAACTAAGCTGCAATTAATACACTTGTCAAGCTGAATTTGCTAAATGATAAACTAATTAGCACAGGCGTAAGAAAATGGGGAGATATGGTAGAATTGTTGAGAATTTTTAGACTGTCAAACTACATCCAATTATTTTAAATAATTAATCTTCCACACGAATGTCATACAGGCTTTGACATATTTATTTTTCCTAGCAGCTACTTTTCCTTAATAACTGGTGACAGAAATGATAAATTTATTTGGGTTACAAGCACACAAATCTGTATGGTTTTGACATCTAACAAAAGCTTTTACAGTAAAAAAACATTGTTCCTATGAGAATAGAAACGTAGTATTAGATGTTGCAAACTACGAAAAACAATTAGATATGCGAAACATATAGGCATACAACAAAATAACAGTTGAAACGTGGGTCATTACAATGATAGAAAAATAATAAAATTATTGGGGACATGAATTAAATTCTGAAGAAAAAGAATATAATTTATATATTCTTCAAGTATGTCAATTGTATCGATACAGAGATCCATCTTTTGTTTCGAAGGAACGCCACTCTAATATCTTCTCGAAGTACAATGTGGTTCTAAAGTAACTTGAACAAACAGTCTTTAGCTTTGAAGTATGGAATGCAAAAACACTTGGCATCATTGCTGGGTATATTACAGCGTGAGATGTATTCGCGATATATTAAGGTCATCTATGTTCTATCTTTCTGAAATAGGATTGGAACACGTATTGCATTTATAATTAGGATAACCTGTACCGAGAACATTTCCAATCAGGATTTTAAAATGGCAGTGAGATATTGCGTGGCAAGTAACAAAGTTACTGAAATTTACAGGTAAGAGGAGAAACAACGCAAATGTCGTATGACTTTAAATTACAGGGAAGAGAATCAAACGTAAAACGAAAAATGAAAGATTCACAATTGCGTCTCGTTTTATGTCTTTGCCGTTTAGTGTCATTTCACCATTCGAAACCAGTCTCTGCAGACAATACAGAATACGATTCTCACGACTGGAACCTCGTACTACCTACGAAATAAAAATCTTCACTATGACCTCAAAGTTGAGCTTATCTCCGAGTTTCGGCACGACCTAAACTCAAACTTTTATGAGAAGGCCATCAGAAATACGTCAGCCGACCTTTCGGACAATTTTGCCTATGATATACTCGACGAGGACAGGAATATCAGGCCCAACGCAGCATTTCTTCACGAAAGTCAGAAAATGCGGAGCCAAGAACATCAGCAACAGAAAGCGTTCTGCCCAGCCCGCGTACTAGGAGTCTTTCACTCAAATTAAACTGTACTGAAAAACATACTCAGGACTTTACTACTTTTGAAGATAGCGTAGTAGAATTCAAATGACTATTTTCTCGCTCCCGATTGGACTTCAGCTCATTACACTCTCACGCACCAGTGAGTCTCATTTTATTAATCTCAAGTGTTCACATCTTTATGGTGAAACAATTATGAAGTGCCGTTATGTGTGAGGCTCCTAGTGGATTCCGTGATAAGCTCTGGTAAGAGCAGGATAAATTCCTGCAGAACACCAGAATGCGCGACTACATACTTAATGTTTTATTTTATTGGAAGTGAAATATTAGAAGATAAGGTCTTTTTCAACATATGAACTTATTTAACCCTTTATTTACAATGAAGTTTCTTATTATTTAATGTTTCATTTTCTCTGCAGTTTCTGTTCTTTTAATATCTGTCCGATTAAAAATCAAGTAAAAAGATAGTATTGTTTTAGCATATAAATTTCAACATAATTATTATTTATTCTTAATTATCGATTAATCGACTCACTTGATTTGCAACGTTCACAGCCAAAGTTTCTAATACAAATTTTAATCATACGCCTTTAAAATTATTAAGAAAAAACTTTTAAATTTCTTAATTTTTTGGAATGATTTTGGAATTAAAATATTTAATTATCATATTCTTTTATTAATAATACATTTTATTTAGAAAATATATATATTTCACGAACTTAAGACGAGAAAAGTTATTCCAAAGTAAAATTTTCTACTTCACTTTAAGCGTTCTCTAGCATACACTATTTCAGAGTAATGTCGGTGAAGAGCGTCGTGTGTCCCTAAATGCTTAGATAACTAGCTAATATCAAACACTGCTAAAGTGAGCTAAAACACTGCTAATCCACTTTTAAAGATAACTCAACCGTATGGCGTTTATACGCTAAATAAGAGAAAAATAGATTAAAGAAAATATATATAAGTGTATGCATAAGAAGATAGAGCAATTAATAAGTGAAATGGTCTGCATGCAGATAGTCTGTAATAGTATATACATCAATATTCCATGCAAGTAAATGTGAATTAATTGGTAATTAATATCATGAATTACGAACTTGAATGACTGGGCAGTCATGCAATAATTCGTTCGTAACCAGCATAACCGAAAATGTACAGCTAGTTCAAAATTTATTGTAGAAAAATACTAAAAGTTGAAGAAACACATAGGATAATACACAAGAAAATAATATTCGTGTATGAGCATGTGCCTGGATGTACGATGGGAATTGATAGAGGAAGCATTTCGGCGGAATTAATTAGTCATTTCAATTTAGCATGTCCTCAAGTTCGTCTTCTAAGAGATGCCAGCCTAATTTGATACTGACGTTGAGCAGAATGAATAGATATGAGAGCTACTGAGATGGATAAATATATAATGAAAGCTGAACTACATATCATCACCACTGTGAGATTTTATCACGAGTAAAGCAAAAATTTGAGCGATCCGTATCCGCTTGTACTGTACCTTTTACTGTATATTTTACTGTATTTTGACCATTACGTTGATAAGCTAGTAATTCTCTTTTTATGTATTTTTTTTTTCAATATTCTCTCCGCCCTTAAGTTTAATTCTGGTAACTGCAATTTATTTTTTGACTGTACGTTCCCGTCCAAATGCGGTTTCTTGATATATGCTAAAAGTATCATCAAATCTTGTGCAGGAATTTATGAATTATACTGTACACGAGTCACCTTCTTATGGATCAGAAATCGTAGAATGAACCTGTATGTGAACCGTCCTGTAGTAGACTCAACCTGTATAAGAATCACCCTGTAGCAGTAGTGGAATCAAGTTAGTGAGCTTAAATCTTTGCGGCACAGTGTGTCCGGTCTGGACACACCTAAACATTTCCTTTCTGTACGCACAGAAAAAATTGAATGGAAAAGGATTTATAGGTTACTATAGGTTACTCTGAAACTTCTTTATTTATAGTAGATGGCAGCTCAACACAAACCAGTCCATATATTTTATCCATGTTTAGTTTTTTAAGACCCTCATTTTTCAAAGAAATCGTCCAGATTTTTTTAGGGTATAAAAGGAATTTTTTGGAAAGAAATGTCTATGTTATTTTTTTTGGCTGTATGCTAATCTCTTTATTCTATATTAGTTTTAAATTTTTATTTTGAAATCTTGCCTAAAATCAAACGGCGAACCCTAGGTGTGCCCAGACCGGACTCACCGATAATCTACGACAACATATTATCGGTGTATTCTTTTTTTCTCCGCATCTCATCGGTCAGTTCATTGACAACAATGCTCGTTTCAGCACTCTTTTCGAAGCTCTATTCAATCAGTGTGCATAAACACAGAATTAAAAGCTAAGTGATATCTTCACGAAATTTTACTTGTGTACTCCTCTAGGCGTAATTAGACTGCCTACCTTTTTTTTTTTTAATCAAAATTCCAACTTTAAAAAGTAGCGTCCCAGAAAGGATTATCTTAAAATCCTTCCTCAGTTTCGCTCGTTTGAGCCCAGCTGTGGCTAAGCAGTAAAGCTGCTAAAGAGTAGCAGTTCGACACGTTTAAATCCCCGGGAATTTGATGACAATTTTCTTTACATGAAAAATTAGAGTGTTAACATTACAATTTGCAGAAAACTTCCGTAATATTTATTGGTTATAGACGTAAGAGTTGAATGCCTTTCATGATGATGGGTATATCCACGGTTAAATTAATATTTAATTATAAAAGGAATTCAAATGAAAAAAATCTGATGTGTACACCACAGGACTTCCTTGTACGGAATATTAAATTATACGCATTTTTTCTTGCATTTCATTTAAACTTATTGGATTGAATTAAATCTACTTCGCGGACAGCGCATAAACCACAATAGAATAAATGCATTCTTAAAAATTTACTCTATTTGTTTACCATAGCGACACTCTGGCGCTAGGTTCACTTAACAGTATTATATTTCGTTCATATTATAACTCAGAATTCACGAAATGTATATCATTTAAAGAATTATCTAATCGTTGCCACATGTTCTATTCAAATACTATAATAAATCTGGAATGATGTATAAAAGAAATTAATCAAACAAAACAAAAAAAGAAGCAGTTTTTTACAGACGATTGAGTATTTCTCATTCACTTAATTCAGTTCTCACTCTGCAACAAGGCAAAAATACAAAAAACTCAAAATATCTGTATTAAAAATTAACGAAGTAAATCTTAATCACATATTTCCTCGAAAAAAATTCCTGACAGGATTACGCATGATTTAATTCGCAATAATAAATAAAGGCGTTTTATCTTTGTTTTTGCGAAGTTAAGTTTCTCTAGATTGGCAACAAATCCACGCCAAGTTTCAAGGCTTAGCGGCACTTAAACAACTTTAAAATTGTTTTGTTTTCTAAAAAAAATATTGCATACAGATTTACTAAAGGCATAAAATCCTTCACCGGAAGATAAGAACAACATAATTCAATCATTTTAAAGCAAAAATTGTACAATTTACAAACATGTAAGAGTAAAGAAACTGAGATCACTGAGCCGGGTAACAGATTGGATATATATATACAAATATATTTATATACGTTTGGTGCGGCCGATTGCAACCAAAATACGAGGTGCACATCCACATGTTATAGCAGTTCTATATACAAAACTTGAACTTTCTGAGGCTACTCGTTTTTGAGTTATGCGAGATACGTACGTACATACGTTCGTACAGACGCCACGAAAAATTCTCTTCAGAATTCATTTTAAAGCAGTTTTATAGCTTTTCTGGTGGAAACGAGTCTTTTATTCTGTCCTTACGTACAAATATCACGCAAAAACATCGTTAAATTGCATTCGATAGTGGTCAAAATTGATATTTTCGGTGAAATATGCTGCCTGAAACCTTTCGCGATTACAATACTTCCTTTTTACTTCGTACAAGGAAGTAAAAATGAATGCAGCAACTGGCAGTTAACTGGAAAATAATAATAAACCCTCTTCATCTTTACGCTCAGGTCTCTAAATTAGACTTAAAATAAAATGGCAATACGCAGATTGGGATCAGCATATGGGCTGGTAAATGGAATGTTAGTTAATTTTCCGTAGTTCTGAATTAATAATTCAGCATTTAAAAATCAGAAAACTTCACTTGGAAAAACTGAAAAATAGAAATTGTAACTTATCATAATGTTCATCTAAAGAATTATGGTGGTCCTCATTACACAGTTTTATTAGTTAGGAATCAACAATCCTAGTTAATGATTGAAAGATCCAAAATTCGTTTCGCATTTAAGGCACAGTTGACTTCTCACATTTCCTGGTATGCAAATTAGTTAGTCTCCTCAATGTTACAGTTCGAAAAATTCTTCATCGAGAGCTTGAAATGTAGTTAGTCCACGCTGTTCAAGACATTTTTTCACTTATTTTGTAAAAATCTAAAGTTTAATTTTTTATATACTTCCTGGATTTTTTGTGGTAGTATAAACATACAATTCTCTACTTCCAAACACTGCGATCAAAACTGATATATGTATTATTTTTTATCTTATACGTTTCGTTTCGCCATTCCTAGATTGCAGCTGTGGTCCAAATGGGAAATGCTCTTTCGACATTAATGGAAAAAAGATATGCGAGTGTCAAGATGGTTTTGCCGAATCTGAAGGATTATGCAAAGGTAATAATAAATTCTGCATCCTTTTAATAATTAACAGATACTTATATTATAATTTTCGTGCTTAACTTTGAAAAAAGTATACCTTTTATATTACTATTCAGAGAAATTTCACAAAAATCATGCGAGTGTTTAGCAATAAAAACCTTGGTTTAAATCTCCATTTGGCTATTTCTCATCAAATTGTATAAACATTTTCTGATAAAAATCGGTTCTCTTGTACACCAAATAGTGTCTCAGCTTCGGTTACAAGAAGAAAATATTTGAAATACGGTTACGAGCAAAAATATGGTTATCACATATCTAATGTTACGAGAAGAGTATATAATGTACTTGAAAGGTATTCTATGTTCATACCATTGCATCAGGGCGCGAAATTACAAATTACATCAAAGGTTTTATTTATAAAAGAAAGAAATTTAAGGAAATAATAATTCTTAATTTTTGTGATGTTAAAATTTAATTCGAGTTCGAAGAGGTCCCGTGCCAAAATTTCAGTATCTAGTCATTTGATATTGTGTTTCCGCATTTCATCAAACTTTCTTGACATACTGATCCGTCTGCTCAAAGGAATCGTACACGAAAGCGAGGAAATCACATTTTTATGACATCATAACGTGAAGAAAATGTTAATATTGATTCAATTGGGAAGCGCTTTAAAATCTTGTAAGCTTATTATCTTTCTTGCTAACACATTAACTTTTCTAACATGTTTAATTATATATTATTTGCTTAAAATTGCTATAGAAGAATTCGATAGCTCAGGGAATTTAACAAAAGTGTAAACAAACCATTTACTACTTTAAATTGCAAACGGAGTTATTCTGAATATTTAAGTTTGATTATTTTCAATGGAGTTTGATTGAAATACACTGTTCGTACAGCTTTTAGGCTATTTTGCTTTGCTCTAAAGGATGGTCTGCTTGGAATTTTTTTAACTGCAACTATACTTTGAAATGATAAATTATCGTCTGTTACGTGATATATTCTTTTTCATGCGAAATGTCACTTTTAATGAGGCAATGGATGGAAGGCTATTTTGTGCTCTTTCCAAAGAAAGTTATTCGCATCAAGTAATTAACGCTGTGAAAGCCATGGTTATTCAACACCTAAAGCTATGATAGGTAATACTGTCAACAAGAAAGATTGGCTTCAAGTGGTTGTCCCAAATGCATATTTATAAATTTAAATCAAGAAATAGAATGATATAAAATACCATTTGTGCGTTGAAATGGGATATTAAATGTTGTTTCAGAAGTTTAAATTTTTAAGTTTCAAAGACGGTTTGAATACTTTACAGACGGGTTGTAAAATTAAAAGGTCCGGATAAAAATGAAATTTATTAAAATATTATTAAAAACCTGTTCGTGCAAAAGTATTATTTACTATGTTTTCCAAGAAATTAATCTTAAAATACTGTAACCTACTTTATGGAAATTTAATATAAAGAATAACCCTAATTTATGATTTAATAAATATAACCCTAATTCATAGAAATTTAAAAATGATGTATTCGTGAGTTCTTTTGTTTCGTTATAAATCTTTCTTCAGTATGATATGTGGCTACCTGTAACAAAAAGCAAATCTCGTGTCTTGATTTTACACAATTTACGAAACTACTAGTCACAACTTACGGATTAGCATACCATTTTCATGACAGCGCGCTCAGATTCCAAACAGTCTATAAAGGCATTTGGCAGATTGTAACGCTGTTGCTTAAGGTATACCGCAATATTCAGTAGGTTTCAACCATGATAGTAGACTGATTCGAGTGAAGTCTGTTTTCAAAATTTTGACCCCAAAGATTGTTGATAAATCCTATCATTGTTATCCATTAGCAAAATTTCTGAACGAACATCATTCCTAAACGACATTAAATCGATTCAAAGACCCCGTCTACACAACCATGTTGGCTACAGCCCCTTTACGTATGCAGCTCCTCTCGATGTTGTTGATGATTCTATCCCCAAACATGAAATCACTTCTGAAGAATTACGGACTCTCGTGACTAGGGAAAGAACAATTGCGTCTTTCTCAGTTCCTCCAGGCTAAAGCAAGTGGAGATTGATAGTTTAGACTATAACTGGGATTCGTCAATAAACAATCTCTGCCCAATTACTTTTGACTCCATTAAACATGTTGGAGATTCCATCGTAAAACGACTATTCTGCAATAAATAATGAATGTTGTATTTGTGAAGTAGAAAAGCATTCGAATGGTGAAAAGACGACATAATTTTAATGCAAAATAGCTTAAATGAAATAATAAAGTAATAAATTAAAAATCGTAAATTGATTAGAAAGTTAAATTATTCACACAGTTTATTTTTCGAAAACTGTTTGTATTTAGCACATCTGTAAAACTGAAGGACTTATAATTCTTTTTTAAATTTTCATTTTAATAATTTCTTAAATGAAGTCTACGAAAACGTTTCTCTGTAGCTTTTTAAAGTCTAATTAAATGGCATGTATTAAAATCCAAAACTGTCTTGATCTTGCCGGATTATCAAAATTATACTATATTATACTAGTATCTCTATTCAGTTCTGATCTGATAGCTATTATGTGTACGTCTATCTATTTCTAGAGTGCTACTGTGGACCAAATACTGGCTGTAGATTCGGTCAATTTGGTCACAAGTTATGTTCCTGTCTAAAAGGATACAAATTTGTGGATGGGGAATGTAAAGGTAACAAATTTTATGAACAATGTTATTGGCTTTAAAATTTCCTTTTTAACAGCTGCATCTAATAATGTACATTTGTAAACATATAAAAATCATATTATATTCCAATTGTAATGTCTTTAAATTTCAATTCAATGTGCTTAGTATTAGATATAAGTAAAGCTCTTTAAGGAAAGAATTTATAAAAAACATGGAATATTTTTTTTTAATTTCGTGTCCTTGTAACAGAAAAACATTGCTGTTTGTTTTATTACTTCTAAGCACATAAATGTATCGTTGGCTGTATTTATGGCAGTATGAAATCATCATAATTTTTCTACCATTTAAATTTGCCTATTTGAAGAAAACACATTTTAGAAATTAATTACACTTTCTCCATCTTTTATCTCTGAAGGACCTTTTTTCAAGCTAAAGAAGATATAGTCACTGCTTAGCTTAAAATTTTTCTACAGTCAGTCTAAAATTTATGTAACACCGAAGTCACATTTCATTAAAATCTTACCTTCTATATTTTTTAAAAAATACTTTAAATGTTTCCTTAAATTTATGCATAAACATGCTGAAGAATTAGACAAAATCTGAAGTTTACAGATTACAGTTTTTTTCTTCTTAATATTTTAAGTTATTTTAAATTAGTGACGTAATTTTATAAAAATTTATATTTTATTAGTTTAGCTAATCGAATGTGTGGAAAGGAAAAGGATATTTTTATTTCCAGCATGAGTCTGAAATTTGAGATTTTAAAGTTCCAACTGGACACCTTTAAAATTGTTCTTTATAACTGACCTGTCCTTCATAGACATATAGGATGTAAATTCAAAATTCAGCAATTAAGCTGCAATTAATACATATTTCAAGATTATCTTGCTACATGATAAACTAATTAGCATAGACGTAAGAAAACGGTGAGTTTTGTTGGAGTGGCTGAGATGTTTTAGACTATCAAACTCCTCCATCATTCTAAATCATTAACATTCCAAGAAAATGTCAGGCAGACTTTGACAGATATACTTTTCATAGCAGCTACATTTCCTTTATAATTGATGATAGAAATTGTAAATTTATTGTGGTTACAAGTATGCAAATCTGGAAGGTTTGAAAACCAAACCGCTTTTCATGTCTCGAAAGCGTGACTTATGTAGCATTATTCTAACATAAGTGTTTCGACACAAAAACTGGACCTTTTCTGAAATGACATGCCAATTCTTTTCCATATATCGGTTCTATGACTCAAATTATGTCTAAATATTCAAACTACATTTGATGTTTTGTCACTTTCAACAAATATGGCCAATTTCAAAACGCGCCAATATATAACTTCACGTATGTCTTCGGAAATTTTGAATAAAAAACCCTATTTTTTGCTGGTATGCTTAAAAGCACATCGACTCTAAGATGATGGTAAAAATGTTATAGGTTATAATTCAAACGTTTTTTTGAAAAATTTTTAAGAGTTATTTAAAAATACGAGTTTTAGAAATAAATCATAAAGAATGGGCTAATTTTATTTGGAATGAACATTAATTTCTAAATGTGAAAGGAAGAATAAAGTAAGTTTAATAAAAAAAGATATATTAATAAATATATATCAAATATAATTAACATTGGAGATCTAAAATTTTGAGCGCTAAATTTTAAAGCTACTCGTGCGATTTTTAAAAAACGTGGCAGTTTGAAATAATCTGAGACATAGTATCGAAATATGGAAAAAACGTCCCATGTCATTTCAGAAAAAAAGTGTGTCTTTGTGTCAAAATACCAATATAGGAACAATGCTATATATAAATATAATCCATATTCTAAGTCACTCTTTGTAGACATGAAAAACGCAAGTTGAATTTTGTCAATCGGCCTAGAAAAACGAGAGCTATAGAACTGTCCCATTTTTTTTTTTTTTTTTTTTTTTTTTTTTTTGTGTGTGTGTGTGTGTGTGTAGTGTACATATAATTCAAAACGTCTTGTAGAAAAACATTAAACGAAGAAGAAACACACATGATAATACACCAAGAAATGACTTAATGACTTTCGTAAAGACAATGTGTCTGGAAACGTGACAGTTTCGACAGAGGGTGCATTTTAGCGGAAATTGATTGGGCATTTCAACCGACATGCCCACAAGATTCTCCTTAGACGCCCGTCTAATCTAAGGTTGGTTGAAATTAGATAAATATATAAGATATAATATATTTTCAGGTTGGAATTAGATTTATATATAAGAGATATATTTAGGTAGATGAATATTATAAAGACAGCTAAATTGCATATTTATGTAATTTGACCGTTGTGAGATTTACCATTAGAAATTTTGATCAACTCATATACACTTGTAGTGTAACGTTTACTGTGCCCTTAATATTATGTTGGTAGGCTGGTTATTTCTAATTATATGGGCAGGAAGACGTTGTACCATTTGTACGATATTCGCGGCTTGCCAACGTAATTTGGAACTTGGTAATTGCTGGTAGGCTGGTAATTTCAGCCGACATTTCCTCAAACTCCTCTTCTAAGATATGACCGTCTAATCTGATACTGACGTTGAGCTAGAGTATATGAGAGTTACTGAGTTAGATAAATATGTAAAAATAGCTGAATTTCATATTTATTATTTATGCATCACCGTTGTAAGATTTACCATTGGTAAAAGAATATTTGATCAACTCAAATCCACTTCTACTGTATCTCTTACTGTAATTTAACCATCATGTTGGTAAGCTAGTATTTACTTTTAAGTACCTTCTAGCAGTCTTCTATCCGTCCTTAATTTTTTTACTTCTGCCAAATCCGAGTGATTTTTCGGCTGTATCTTCCCATCGAAATCCGATTTGTTGGTCTATGCTAAAACTATCCTCAAAATTCGTAGAGGGAATTACGATTCATCCTGAATATGAATCACCTGTTATGAATTACCCTGTAACAATAGTAGAATTAGGATGACTCTTAAAACTATCATCATTTTCACATGTTTTCACCTAGCACAGCCTCAACAGTAAAGGTGCTGAATCTTAGCAATTTGACATGCAATACCTGCGAATTTGAAGAGAATTTCTTTCTTACAATATGAAAAATATAATTCAAAACATTCAAGTATTAATGTTATAATTTTCAGAAAAATTCGGAAATATTTAGTAGTTATAGAAATGAAAGTTAAATGGCTCGCAAGATTTGGTTATATCCATACTGAAATTAATATTGAATTATAAAAGGATTTTAAGTGAATAAAAAAATAAGGAAAAAATCTAAAGGTTTCAGATTTTAAATTACGTCCAGAGGGGCGATTTTTTAACGTTTTGTGCGTTATCTTTATTTATTAAATATCATATTCTTTGCACGCAAACCATAAAATTCAGTTCAATAGCAATGTCGCAAAATAATTTTAAGATGAGCATATCTTTAGAATTTCCGATGCACAGTTCCGCGCCAGTTGGAGATAAAAAGGTTTCTTTGTTTCCCTCGTAGAGTGTTGCCATTGCTCGTTTTCAAATCGCTGAGTTTGTTACTCAAAAATGTAGGAGTCCGTCATCTGGAGTCCGAAAGTTTTGTTTACGATATCAGGAGAGAAATTCAATAGAAAGCAAAGAAGGAAAAGGCCGAAAAAGGTGCACCACATCTATTGATGACAGAAGAATAAAACGACTGTGTCTCCAAGATAGAAAAATCTCATCAGCGGCCATCAGAATTGATCTGAATGAAGCTGCTATTTCTGTCAGTTCGAGAACAATCAGGAGAAGATTAACAGATGCTGGACTGAGAGGTAGAATTCCACGAAAAAAGCCTTATCTTAATTTTCAGCAACGAAAAAAAAAGACTACAGTGGGCAAAGGAACACATTAAATTGGACAGATTGTTAGTGGTCACAAGTTATATGGAGTGATGAAGTTTAAAAATATGAAATCGGTAATAAAACAAATTCCAAATTTCAAATTTGATCTTCCACATACCCATATTCGTAGGAGGATTACGTCATTCAAAATTCGATGGCTCTATGTACCGTTGTTTTATCGCGATGCGATAAATATACATACGTTTATGCAGATTTTTCATAATTTGATTTCTTCAAATATAATGCAGGACTCTGACATTTGGTGGAAACAGTTTGAAAAGCGAAACGGAATTTATAGTGATTCAACGCAAAATCGCAAACCGGAAACAATATTTTTTCAGGAACAAAGTCCCTTTGAACTAAAAAAGGAATTAAGACCCAAAGTAAATAAATACAGCAACAGACAGCTGTGTAACGTAAAAATAATAACACACCCATTTCATCTTGATGCTCTGTTCTGTTAATTAAAGTAAAAGTGAAATGCCAATACAAAAACTGGAGTAAGCATTTGGGATGCCTACCCGTCTTAATACTTTTCTAAAGAATTATGGCGTATCACTACATCTACCTTTAAGGGTTAGAAATTAGCAATTCTAGTTATGATTGCAAGATCCAGAATTCGTATCTGATTGATGGATCCAGAATTCGTATCTGATTGATGGCAAAATTGACTTCTCACATTTCCTGCTATGAAAATAGATAGTCGGGTCAATGTTAAAATTCGATATATTCTTTAGGCAGAACACTAAATGTACTTGGTGTGCATTGCTGTTTTTTTAATTTATTTTCTAAAAATTGACAATTTAATTCTTATATAGTGATGGTAAAAATTGTGAACACTTCTGGAAATTTTTATGTTTTTGAACTTTGTATTCTTATAGAAAATGTTACGTTTCGCAAAATGCAAACTTGTAAATATCATTTTGAAGCGAATTTATTACTGAATTCAATACAAAACACAAAATTCAATTATTTGTAATACAAAAAAAATGTTATATGTACTTTAATATAAATAAAAAACACAGTTATGAAGTGGTTTGTAATGTCTAGCTTTCCTGGCCAATCACTGTTCTTGTTCTGAGAACCACTCAAATGTTAGTAAATGCCAGTAGAAGCTGACATCATGTTTACACTTGAAACAATTCATTATTTTGCTTTGTTCTGTAGAAGGAGGACCTGTTTCTTATACACTGAAATTACAAGTAGGAAGTTTTGTAAAAATGTTTAATATTTACTCAAGAAGCAATGACATCAAATAAAAGAGTAGATTGGACACCTAGAAAGAGATGTAATATTATTGTGTTACGAGAAAGTGGTCTTCCTATGCCGAAATTGCAAGACAGGTGGGTGGTTCAGTGACTACATCTGGAGTCCGAAAGTTTTATTTACGATATCAGAAGAGAAATTCTATAGAAAACAATGAAGGAAAAGGCCGAAAAAGGTGCCCCACATCTATTGATGACAGAAGAATAAAACGACTGTGTCTCCAAGATAGAAAAATCTCATCAGCGGCCATCAGAATTGATCTGAATGATGCTGGTATTTCTGTCAGTTCAAGAACAATCAGGAGAAGATTAACAGATGTTGGACTGAGAGGTAGAATTCCACGAAAAAAGCCTTATCTTAATTTTCAGCAACGAAAAAAAAGACTACAGTGGGCAAAGGAACACATTAAATTGGACAGATTGTTAGTGGTCACAAGTTATATGGAGTGATGAAACTAAGATATTGTTATTCGGTAGTGATGGGCGAAAATATGTAAGACGTGAAATAGGAGAAGAGCTACATCCTGACTGCATTCAAGCAACTGTGAAGAACCCAGTTAGTGTTATGATTTGGTCATGCATGTCAGCAGATGGTATTGGTCGCCTTCATGTCATCGATGGGACACTGAATGCCAGAAAATACATTGACACTATTCTAGAACCAAAACTTCTACTTTCCATCAGAGATCTCTTTCCCAACAATGCTTTGTTTATTTTTCAGCAGGATTCTGCTCCTTGCTACACGGCTAAAATATCGAAACAGTGGTTTCGTACAAAGAGCATTAAATTGTTGTCATGGCCAGGAAACAGTCCTGACCTCAATCCTATCAAAAATTTGCGGCACCGTTTGAAAACACTTGTCCGAATGAGGCGCCCATCAAATAAAAGGGAACTAATTGAGGCTATAATTGTTTCCTGGCATCATGTAATAACGAAAGAAGAGCTTAAAACTCTTGACAGCTCAATTAAACGTCGATGTGAAGCTGTAATCAAAAATAAAGGGTAGCCTACTCAGTACTGATAATTCACTGCAATCATCACTATCTAATATATATCGATAACTATTATCGTTTAACATTTTTTGTATTGCAAATAATTGAAATTTGTGTTTTGTATTGCATTCAGTAATAAATTCTCTTTAAATTATATATACAAGTTTGCATTTTGTGAAACGTGATGTTTTCTATAAGCATACAAAGTTCAAAAACATAAAAATTTCCAAACGTGTCGACAATTTTGGCTAACACTGTATTTATTTCACCTTTTGTAGTGATGTAAACATAAAAATAATATTTTTTCACCTACAAACATTGTTATGAAAGCTGATATATGCATTTTCTTTTCTTTTATACGTTTTGTTTTCCCAGTCACAGGTTGCAGCTGTGGTCCAAATGGCGAATGCTCTTTGGCCATTAATGGAAAAAAGATATGCGAGTGTCGAGATGGTTTTGCCGAATTTGAAGGATTATGCAAAGGTAGAAATATTTTTTCATCCCATTTACTAATTAACTGATGCACGATAATTTAAGTGCTCAACTTAAAAAAATGCTTACCTTTTATATGATTATACTGAGACATAAAATCTGCGATAGTTAGAAAATCAAGATATTTTTATAAAATGACCTGTTGACTGTTTTTCATGAAACTATGCAACACATTTTCCGATGAAGCTATAGACTTATAATTTGCGTCAGGGAAATCTCATTTTCAGTTACAGAAAAAATTTATATTTGAAAGTTATTTTTTGCATAATGGCATGATATTACAGGTTGTATGACGTGGAAATTTCTGTCTTTAAATTAGAGCTTATTGCTGCAAAATGTTTCACTTATAAAAACAAAATATTTAAACAAAGAATAATTCTTAAATTTGAGATGTTAATTTTCTTACACACTGAAATTTTCATTACACAAATATTCAGAAACACAGTCAAAAGTGATTTCCAGGGTAATTTATTTTAATAAAACGGATTTGCTGGAATGAATTCTATCAGAATAAACCAGAAATTTTCTTTTCTTACTGCAGGTTGTATAATCGATATTTAAAAAATTAATGTCAGCTTTCACTTGAAAAATATCTGATGTGTACACCACATGACTTCTTTGTACGGTATTATTACGGAATATTAAATTAAACGCTTATTTGTACGGAATATTAAATTAAACGCAATTTTCCTGCAACCATTTAAATATATTAAATTAACAGTTAACGACTTTTGAATTAAATCTACTTTGTCAATCGCGCATAAACTTCAATAGAAAAACTGCATTCTTTATATTTCACTGTATTTATTTTCCATAGCGACACTTCGGCGCTAGGTTCACTTAACAGCGTTACATTTTATAACTCGCAGTACGCAAAATTTATATCATCTTGAAGAATTACCACAAGTTCTATTCAAATACTATAATAAATGTAAAAAGATGTATGAAATAATTGGAACAAATAAAAAAAAAACAGTTTACCACAGACGATTCCAGCGCCGCTTACGTAATGCGCATGCACTACTAATTAATTCAGTTCTACTTCGCCGCAAGCCAAAAATACATAAATATTCAAAATATTTTCATTAAACGTTGAAAGATATAGAAAAACATGAAACGCCAAGTACAGTTAAAACTATTAAAAAAGCAATTTTAAGCCGCACTTATAAAACTTTTAAATTGTTGATATTTCCTCAATTATTGTATCTTCCATAATTATTGTATTACAACAATGAAGTAAAAATCCGTGTCTTACAAAAAAAGGTAAAAAATTGTTCGCGTTTAAGTTTACTTGCCATGGCAACTGCACTGATTACAGGGGGAAAATAAATTTTCGATTGCACAAAATCTGTTTCTAAGGATCTAATGATGTTTTTATTTACACTTGCATCAAATTCATATTTGTTTCTGTTAGTTTTTATACGAACTTCAACAGAATCTAAAATGAAATTTTCAAAAGAAAAATATGATTTAAATAGATTCATCTATTAAAATTATTCGTTTATTTTGAAAATATGAATAGTACTCGATTTATTAGATTCAGTATTCATAGTAGAATTTAAATTACTCATAAACATATTTTAGAATTACATACATATTAAAACATATTCGAATTAAGGGTACGAAATCATGAACATATTTTGGTGAAAAAAATTGGTCTTTTTACGATTTGTTACATTTCTATTATTTCCCTTTTTGCATCTACAACATATTTAATATTTAAATATTTATCTCCTAATTTCTTTTTAAAATTCCAGTATAATTCATTTATTCGATTATCAAAAAAGTTTTCTTTAATTGTTCCTTCTGTGGATGTAAATGTCTTGCATTTTATTGAGCAAAATTTTTCAAACTATGATTTCCTATTTTAACCCTGCAACCTGATTTCCTATTTTATTCATCTAATAATTTTTTAATTAAAAATATTTATTTTCTAAGCAAATTATTTATAAGTAGCGTTAAGATTATCTATAGGAATTAAACAATATTTTAAAATTTGATTCTGGATATCATAATTTCCATCATTCATTAATTTCAAACCAGTACTAGGCCAATCTATAGGTCCAGTACCAGGAGAACCTATAGGTCTTCTTTCATTTCATCATCAAAGGGTGGTAACAAGTGGCCATTCATTATGTTGATAATTTTACAATTTCTATCATACTAACTTTTCCGGTTGCTGTATTTAAAATGCATTTCTTTTACTCTAATAAAATAAAGTCAAATCTATATTCTTTTTGAGAATTAATTAATGACTTTAATTAACGACTTATTTAATAACCAATTAAATTTGATTACAGTAGCCATAATGTAGTTATAATTTTCATGGTTAGAGTGATCATAATAAAAGTAGAATAGAAATTTTTAAATTTTAAGAGATCTATTATGCATTATGTTCCATAATTAATAGAATTCAATCCTTCTTTCAAGAAAGATGTGTATAATCTATTGTTGTTATATTTTTTAGTAAAATCCTTTTATAATTTGTATTATGATATTCTTTCTCATTAACCATTAAATAATAATCAGGATATCTAAATTATCAGATATCATATTATTTTGTGTTGCATTGTTTTCTCTTTCAACATATTGAAAGGAAATATATAAGTTTAAAACATCATTTGAAGTAGATGTTATACCATATCAAGAAGTTTATTGAGACTCGGAAATGACTTTAGTAAATTTTTATTTCTTTTCTTCCATTTTAAAGACTTCAGACATAATCTTTGCTTTATTTTCAATTTATAATGACTTAACATCAGTTTTAAATCTTTAACACTCCTTCAAAATTATTCTTTTCGTTAGTATATATCATATTTTCAATTCTATTTCTCTGAAACGGAAGTTGAATTTCAAAATTTGTACGTGCTTTTTTATATTCTCCGATATATTTTAGTGAATCTGAGGACTCTTCATCTGTTCAAAATAAGTTCAAGTGCTTTCAAAATACAATAATGAATATTTAGAAATAACTGTAGGTGTAAAAGATTATGACGAATGAGACTATATTTTATCTGGTATTTTAGATTTATCTGTAAGATGTGATGATATTCTATTCGTAGTTTGGTCTGAATAAAAAGCCTTTAATCTTTTGTAAATATAAAACAATATAATTATAATAAAAATAATATAATTTTGAACAAAATATTACATATCTTGTAGTATTTTGTTCATTGTTCAAAATTCATTCATTATTCATTATTACAAAATTTATTAAAATTTTGATGTGAATTAAAATTGTATATAAATTAGAGAAAGAATCTAACTATAACGGAGGATTTTATATATATATATTAAAATGTTTAATTTTATGTATTTTCAGGGTTAAATGTTTACCTTCCTGATTCTCTAAAGAACATGCAATATTTTAATATGTTTTAGTGTCATTTGATTTTTTTTTATTTTTTGTGTCTATAAAATTTTTTAAATTTTTTGTTTTTACAATTATTTTAATTTTTTGCATATACTTTTTTTAGCTTTTTATATCAATATGAACTTAAATTTAGTGTCAGAGTTCGAAAATACTTTTATAATTATTGGAATATATATAAAGAGCAGCACAACTGTGCTAATAAATGAAACACGACGAATTTGATATAATAATGATTTTAATTTAATTTAAATCAATTATGAAGGATTTGTCGTGTGTCCTATAGTAACATATGCTGCTTACGTCTGTCGGATTCAGAAAGGAATGCTTCCTCGTTTCAGTGTCTTTCATTTGGATGTACTCTTCTTGTTGTACTCTTGTTTGCATAATGGTAGTCTCTCTTGTTTTTTAAGACTACCGTTATACAATGAAAACAAATTGTTTTCATTGATAATGTAGTATCGCTTATGCTTGATACACTGCATTTTTATGCCATTAGAGTCATCTTTCCGTGGTTTAATCTTCTTCCGATCAGTAATATCACTTTAAAAACACTATTGTTGTCATCAGGGAAAGTATTTCACATTATAGATTTTAATTATTTAAATGGCCCTATAGTACTGAAATACGCATGGATATTGATACATTGATATTGCTCTTGAAGAAACGTTTATTTTCAAAAGCCATTTCGCATAAAACGTTTCAATAGAGATATAAGTAGGCAGTAAATGAAATATTGTTGAAACTTGAAAGAAGACACATTTATTGAATTTATAACCGTATTTATTCTAATTCTTTGTTTTCAGAGTGTTCCTGTGGATCTCATTCGTTCTGTTTTTTCAACAACGATGGACATAAGAGATGTGTATGTTTAGATGGATACACTTACAATAATGGAAAGTGCGAAGGTATGTACTTGAAACGGATTATTTATGTATGAATTCTATATGTTTCAATTAAACTGAGCAAAATCTGTAATTTAGTAGATTTAATAGAAAACAATTATATACCGTAAATAATTTTTGTAAGTGCGTTGTTAGATTAATAGTTCTAACAAAAATATAAAATATGCAATAGAGTAGCTTAATATTAATATAAACTGAAATTGCAAATACTGACATTTTAAGAACATCAATAGTTTATTACAATCTTTATTTTCTACGTAAAGAATAAATTTTATTTAATTACTAAACAAATGAAAAATGTATATATAGTTTGTGACATTTAAGTATTATGTACTTTTCTATGATTTGTTTGGACAATTGGCTATTTATCATAAAAAAACGCAACAAATAAAGTATGCTATAACAGCACATATATATATATAATATATACATCTCATAGAGAATTGTTAGGGATGTTTTCAGGAAGTTAATTGAAATCACATCTGAATAAAAACAGTGATGATTATCCTTTTCAGATCTTTAGACTAATGGTACAAATATTATTACTGAAAGTATTCTTTACAACATCTCAGTCAGAATCTGCAGTAAAAACATACATAATTTTAATCGAAGTTTCATCTCAATCAAAGCTTGCATCAAAGCTGAATATAACAGAACACACAGAAAGCGCAAGTGATGCATTGATGCTACGGCCACTCAGGTCTTCGAATTAAATCACATATGAAGTTTTCTTGCGCAGTATTATAAAGTTACTGTCTTGCTATTTTTCTACTTCCTGGATCTTTTTACTTGTATATCTGATACGCTGGATACAGCTGATTGTGAGATAGTGTCACACATATTGCCCGAAATACGTGTGCCACTATCTCACAATCGGCTGTATCCACAGTATCTGGTAGATTCCTGTTGTATCAGTAAAATGAGTACACTGAGAGCGTGTGAAAAGTCTACTAAAACTTACACGGTACTTCTACGCTGTTATCTGCCATTTCATGAGTGAAATAGAACTTCAGTTCATTTTTATGGACAACAACTCTCGTTTACATAGGGTTAACCTGTTGGGTGATTTTTTTTTTTTTTTTTTTTTTTTTTGACGCATGAAGATAGCATCCGAATGAATTTGCCAGCTACATTTCCACCTCTTAGTATATACTTACTATATATTATTATTACTATATATACTAGTATATACTATTTATTATGTATATTACTTAGTATATACTAGTATATACTTATAACCTCTTAGTATATACTTAACATATATATAACATAACAACTTTATCTCCCTTTGCCCCTTAAAAACAGTTCGCAGCCTGAAAGCAGCTAGCATTCTGCAGGTGTGAGACCGATTCTCACAGGAACTGACAAAGTGTCTTTTCTGCAATATTATGTTATTTCTGTCAGAAGGTGTAAAGTATTAAGCGGGCACCATTTTTCCAGTTAGACTTGTAATAGAACTTCAGTTCATTTTTGTGGACGACAACTCTCGTTCACATTGGGTTAATCTGGTGGGCGATTTGTTTGGCACATAAAGATAGCATCCGAATGAATTTGCCAGCTACATTTCCAGACCTAAACCTCCTAGTGTATACTTACGATACTCTTGGGAGTGCAACTGTAACTCCCCTTGCTCCTTTCAAAACTGTTCAGGACCTAAAAGCAGTACTGCTGCAGGTGTGAGACCGATTCTCACAGGAACTGCTAAAGTGCCTTATTTCCAATATTATGTAATTTCTCTGAGATGGTTTTAAGTATTAGGGTACACCATATTTCCATTCAGACTCGTTCTATATTCGACCTTACAAGATCTAGTTTTAGAGATTTCTGCTCTCATAATTTCGAGCACATTTATGTCGCATAATATCAACTTAGTCCAGAAACAGATTCCTTAACTGTGGTGATAATCTGTGAACTGTCAAAATAACCTTAACTTTGAACACCTTTATGATTCGGCAAAATGAAATTTGGTATAGGTTGAGCGGCTTATTTGGTATAATTATTTTAAATCTTTCCCGCAATTATAAATATGTGTGCACTTTATTTAAACAATCTTTTGCCAGATTAAGTCTTTAATTTTGTGTGTAGTGGACTAACTGTACTATATTTTCCATTGCAGAAGGCAAGAAAGAGAATATCGTTATTTCTGTACTTCTTGGAGCTATATTGGTTTCGATCCTTTTCGGAATCTGCCTTTTTACGTTCATGTTATGCAAGAAGTAAGTAAGTATATATTTCTGCGGTTTCTGTAGTTCATGTTAAGCAAGAGGTGCCTTCCATATTATGGACTCATGTTACGTTTTCAATGAATCATCTATGAATTTTAAGTAAAATTAATTTAAGGGGTCATAACTCCCTTAAACCATCAAAACTTTCGATTTTTTGAAAAAAATATATTTCATAGCCTGGCTCTTTCTGGGCAGTTTAAAAAAAACCCGGAGCGAATATTCGCACAATTTCATGAGTTATGAAGGGAAATGTATCAGCTGACTAATGTAAACAAGGTTTAAAGGTCCGACCAAGAAGCGTCAGGAATTTCTACTCGAAGTGTTATGTGGCAAGCCTAATGATTTATTTTTTGATAATCTCTTTATGGAGTAGCACTCTCAACTCTTTGGTAGTTTGTTTACATTCGTAACCGTCGTTGCGTTCTATTTTATGATTCTATTTTGCTTATGCGTGATTATATTTTGATAGTAATTTATATCATTCTACTTGTTATTTCCAACACTTATGATCATTTTTACTACTGTTATTATCGAACTGTGCACTCCTCGGTACAATGGCTGAAAGCGGCGATTTATGGAAACTAATTCATTACAAATAATAAATCGACAGTTTGTAATGAATTAAATAATGGATTTGCAATTTCTTCTCCAAACCATGTTGCAACTAGTGAAACTGTGGCTACACATGGTAATAGTTTCCCTGTACATTCAGAACTAAATACAAGTGCTTCAAGTAAAACATTAAATGTAAAAGCCATTGATTTTCAAGTGAAAGCATTCGATTTGATGGCAATATATCGTCGATAAAAATATCATGGGGTTTTCATCCGCAGAGAACCCGTTGGCGCTTCGGAAAAGAACCCGTTGGCGCCGTTGCATTTTTACTCGCCAAGCTCGCGGTTCATTGATGATGAGCCGAACCGTAAACGTGATATTTTGTTAACGTGAATTTTAGTGTATGTAAATTCAAGATAGCAGACAAAACAATATATTAGCAAATGGGTAGTAAAAATTCACAGATAATAAGCATGTAGATGTAAAACTAACCGGTTAAACACGTGATATACAAAAATAAATTTGTATTAAATCAATTAGCACAGAAAACAATATTAAGCATAAACAATATATAATCATTTAACGGAAATAAAATTCATTAAAAAATATATATTAGTATCAATGTACTAATTACCCGTTAAACGTGATAAACGAAAAAAACTTGTCTTAAATTCCAGTTAACACAGAAAACAATATATTCCTCACACCAGCAGTGGTTTGCTAATTTTGATGACCATGGATGATGCTACAGTTTCAGCATCAAAGAGGTTCAGCCAAGGATGGGCAAAGACTACGATGATCACCAATATTTGTTTTTATGTGTGTGAAGGAACAAAACCGCAACTCCTCCTCATGTCAGATCCTCTCCCCTGCAGCAGCCACCAGAATGTTGGTGACAAAGTCAACAGCGAGTAGAAGGTTTTACGAAGAAGGTCTGCACGTGAGGCGACCAGCCCTTTATGTGCTGCTCACGTCATAGAGGAACGTTTGAGTTGGACACGTCAACATGTCGACGTGTCCAGCAACATTCGATTTGGGTGGCTCCATTAATGGAGGGCTGTTCTCTTTTACGGAGGAGTTTAGGTTTAACCTCCAAAGTAATAGTACGCGTTGCTTGATTTGGAGAGAATGTGGAACCCGTTATCATCCATCAAACAACGGTGAAAGAGATACATACGGAGGAGGCAGTGTCAGCATTTGGATTAGTATCTCTTTTGGTGGACACAGAAACCTCCATGCCTTTCCATATGGAACTGCGAATTTGCAGGTCTATACAGATAACATCCTTGATGCTCATGTGCGGCCTTATTTCTTATTAATGATTTCATGCTAAAACACGACACAGTTAGATCTCGTAGGTCTCGCATCGTGGATGATAATTAAAAAGCAAACAGTTCAGCGCATAGAATGGTTGTCTCCATCACCGGACATGATTACTTCGTGCATGACTGGCACGGGAAGATATAGCTACTCTCAATCCTCCTTTCTCGCTTTCTTTCTCTTCTTTATCACGTTTTCAAGAGCAATGGCTGTCATTTCCTACTGAACTAATAGATCGCATAATTGACAGTATCATTCATCGTGTCGTATTGCTTCTAGAGGAGCTCATACTCCATAGTGAAGGTAATTCCTATATAATTGCGATCGATTGTCATTTTACAGGTGTTATTCTTAACACATAATTGTCTGTAAATTTCTATAGCACCATAATTGTCTGTTAATTTCTATAACACCATAAGTGTCTGTTAATTTCTATAACACCATAATTGTCTGTTAATTTCTTTTCATGTTATTTTATACCTTACTATGTGTTGTGTATTGAGGGCCAGTTTCTTTAAATTCTTCACGCAACTTTTTGAATAATCACGATTGTGTGATTTTTCCTTAATTAATGATAACCAGTGTATAAAACTAATATAATTATTTCTTAATTTAACTTTTCCGCTACCGCGACTTTTTCTAAATTAATAGCCAAATTTTCTTAATAATAAATTAATTATACTAATTCTTTTAAGACCAGGAGGATAAAATGTGTGCTTTTATATACACCAAGAACAATCAATGAGCAGAATGTGATTTTTTTTATTATATTATATTGTATTTATTTATTAGTTTTTTTTTTTTTTAGTTAGCATATTTTTTTTTTCTTTGGATGCTCTAGTATTGGAAACTTAAAGATTTTCCTTAATATTTTTATAAATTGGTTTTGAAACTCCCAATTTCCGACATTACAATCAAAATTATAAAAATATTGAAGTATGGTATATTTTATATTATATTATAGCACATTTACTGAAACAAATTTTTATATTATAGCAAATTTACTGAAACAAATTACGTCAATGGCAAGTAGCATGTTTAGTTAATCTAGCAATTTTTAACTTGAAATTGTTTCGAATCTTGAATTCTAATTTTAGCTTCTAAATTCAAATAATTTTATAGACATGAAAATTGTTGGTTACAAGATTTGCACATTAATATTTACTTGGCCCTATTTATTTTCTTTTATATAAATGACATTTTTATATTTAATTATTAATTCCCATTTTATTATGTAGGAGTTATGAAATAAATGCCTTCCTGCATTAAAATTATACATATGTATTATTATATAACTATAGAGTGTTTATATAAATTCTCATGTATACTAATTGCGTTTCTTTCTAACTCTAGGAAATAAACACAACTCTCATCAGATGCATTAGAAAGGAGAGGAATATTTGATTTCATTCAGTGATGCTTGTCACATTCTCATGATATGTCTGAAAGTATTTTATAACTGAGCAAAACTTTCATTTTTTGTGCGCTAATATTAAATAAACTTTGCAGATGATGCCTTTCAACATTTTTTCAACTTGTTTATTGTTTTCCTTTGTATTTCCAAAAATGAAACCTTACGACATGACACTTTTCTACGTAATTTGTGAAAATAAGAACCCTAATTTTGCTATTTTATGGAATTCTGCTCTTTAATCGAAATAATATGTACATAGTAATTCTTTATTTCTGCTTTGACTTTTAATCGAAACTAAATCATAGTGTAATCCATTGATAACCTTAAACAAAATTTACATTATAATTAAATATTTACATGCGTAAGAAAGACAAAAGATGTGTAAATATAAATTTAATTTAAATTACCATTGATCCTTTAAAGTTTAATTTGGTTATTTTCTCTCTCTATTCTAAAAATAGCAATACCTTTTTGTGCATTGCATCATTTTAAGCCTTACTAATTACAGCAGCTAATAATAATTGTAAAGCATGATTAACTGTGTCATATGGTTTATAGTGGATTATCCAATCAAATCCATTGAAATCCGAAAGTAACTCATCTTGAATTAAAATTTCATCCTGAACACAAGGCGCTTTCTGCAAGATATGCTGCTGCTTCTATTTTTACCGCAAAGTGATCAAAAACATAAATGTACTTGAAAAGGCAAGAGTAGGGTACCAATTTGTTTTTACAAAAAAATTTTTACCCAAACATAAATGACTATTTAATCTATCGTGGCTGCCAGTTTGATGTTCATTAGAGATCTACAGATGATTTAGGAACAGAGATGGCTTAGGGATTTAGGAGATGATTTGATCTAAACAGAAATGATTTAGAAATTTTGATTCCTTACATCAAAATTCATAAATCATTGCATCTAACTCTGCTTCATTACAACTTGTCGACAGTCAACCTTCGGGGAAATTTCTGTTTCAGCAAAAATTTTCATGTAAATTTCTGCAATCCTTTTTCTTATTTCTGAGTTCACACCTAAGTCTTGCTCGTGTTCTTCCAGTGTCTAAGAAAAATAAAAGTACTGTAATATCATCTGTGGTTAAGTTAGTCCTTTGCAATAAATTAGTTATTATATTACGTAATTAATCAACTACTGTTGATCGATGTTGTCAGAATCTACTGACATATGCAGGTTCTATTTATATAACTGATTTAAAAAAACAAGAAGAAAATCCATTTACCTGTTCTGATAAATTGTTGAATCTGACATGATGTTTCAGCTGGCAATCTTCTTTACAGAAAAACCACAATTGAATTTCTTGACATCACATTTTATTTACATAAAACATTCAAAAGGAAAAATTAATATTTATATACTTTTCTTGCAGCCTCTTTTTCTCTTATGGCTGTACGAAACAATTTATCCGTCCATCACACGGATTCGAAAACCGAACTTTCTACTGTTTTAAAAAAAAAAAAAAAAAAAAAAAAAAAACACAAGGTTTTAATTTCTCACAAATGAAACTCCTGGCTCCCTCTAGTGAGGAAAAGACACTTTAGATGAACATTTAACACCAGTGTTTGAAACTCAATAAGAATGTTTCAAATCAACTGAAAATGATTCATCATTCCAGTATTTGTAAGAAGTGCATTCACTTGTAAGATACTTTTATACTTAAAAATACTGTATGTGAGATACTTTCACACAGTTCCATTTTGGTATAAAAAATTAGCAGAGGTCATCAAATATGGTGTTATTTGCTCCATATATCTTGTACTGTGGGAAATGCTTATCAGCCGCTTTCGTTTCTGATGTAACCTTATAGATGTTTTATCTATAATTATTTTCTCTCAGTATTAAATTGCTGTTTCGTCAGTGAAACAAAACTAATGCTCCTGCAATGAATTTAAAATTTTGCATGAAATGTTTTAATTAAAATTTTTACAATTTTATTCTATTGTTTTGAGAAAACACAAAACAAAATGTTGAAAAATGAAAACGCAAATATTTGGATATTTTCAATTAATGGTTGAGCATTTATCCATTTTGTTGGTGCATTTTATTATATACGTTTCGCTAACAGAGTATGTTTATTTTTATTCCTAACTGTGAACTAATTAATTAATGTTATTTTTAAATTCAAACACGTAATACTGCTTTTTTATACATTAGATTTGAAGTATAACACTGATTCATGAAAATGAAAGATAAAATATTTTATGCCTCTAGAAATAAGATTTTAAGTAATCATTATTGAATTGACTAAGTAAAGAATTAATATTTTTAGTGAAGATTATTAAATTAAAATGTGATTAATCACCATATTTTTGTGTTATTTTACAATTATTTGAATTAATGCTAAAATTCAATAATTATTCTGATAATGAAATGAATATAAAAAAATCTGTGAAATAAGTTTCAATCCTGGGAAAGAAAATTAATGTAAACCAGTGTTCTCGAGTATAATACAGAAAATATTTAGTATTTTGATAGTAAATATTATTATAATGAATATAAAAGTATCAATAAGGTTAAAATTGAATAATTGTTGTAAAACTGATTATGAGTAATGCAAGTAAAAAGCGAAAGTAATGCAGATAAATAATGCGAAATTATGGTAAATGAATGTTAAAATTTTTGATAATTTTATGTTAAGTGAAAAGTATATTGAGGAAGTACTAGTTCAGAAGTAGATGCCTATTATTAATTGTTCCTTTCGCTCTCCCTAAATAAGATAATGTTGAAGGCTGTCATTTCATGATAGAGTGTAAACTTTATATATATATATATTATTATTGTATGTGTTTTTATTATGGAATGTATTAGTGCAGTTCACAAGCGAACTTTGTAGAAGGAGCGGAGACCTCTACAAGTTATTGACATAGCATACCTTTGACACTAGTGCAAAAAAACACACTAGTTAGCTCAAATAGGTATACGCTGTTGAGAGAAATGTATGCTACTGCGGGGCATGCAGTTTGGTAAAATAAGGATTTCCATAGCAAAAAATAATAACAGTAAAACCATATTTCCTACAATATTACTATATTTAATATATAAAAATATAATTCATCAATCTCATAATTAGTGTCACAAATCTTTATGTGTATTACTGTTAATTAGAATAAGTAATGGGTATGTAAAATCTTTTATATATGACACTCCGCAAGAAAAAAAAACCCTTCCTTAAAGAAGTGTGGGCTCAAAACAGAAAGCTTTTTGGACTTAAATACTGAAACATTTAATAAGACTCTAAAACTGCATTTATTTTTAAAACATTTGATATTAAAAAAATATACCTTACAATAATTTAATTAATTATATTGGTCAAAATTTTATGATTTAAATTTCACTTCATTTGCTTCTACTTAACACTCTTCCCCTAATGAGGCTTCTCTAACGTCAAGCCATTTTCTATTTGAATGGAAGATATGTAAGAAAGATAGAAGAATATGTAAATATATATTATAATTTAAATTAGCAACAGTATTTTAATACTTAATTTTAATTTGGATATTTTCTGTCTCTTACAAAAATAATAGTACCTTTTTCTTCACTGCGTCATTTCGAGCTTTAATCCATATCATATGAGTCTTATATAATGCTGGTCACATAAATGGAACTGAAACAGCCAATAATAATTTTACAGCATTGGTAAACGAAAATGACTAATTCTGAGTAAAGAATTCATACTGGACGCAAGACACTTCTTTCTGCACTTCGACCTAGATCGACAACTGCTTGCTGTTTCTCTTTTTACCATAGGGCTATATCCAAAATGTAAATGTTCTTGAAAAGGCACATTTGTGGCCGCAGGAGGTTTACCAGAATATAAATGACTATTAAATCTGCCTCGGATGCTTATTTGCCTTTCATTACGGATAAAACATCGACGACATGCAACATTTCATTATCTATGCAATTAAAATTTTCACATAATTACATTTAAGCTGTATATACATATAATTTTACGAATTTTGTTATATAAATAATTTTTGTGAAATTACTATATTTTTGTATAATGTAACATGAGAGCCTAAAGAGAAGAATACAGGAGCAAGTCTGGTTAACATTACGCAAACCGCTATCACTCAAAATTGGCGAGATATCGCCAAGATGGAGATGGTTTTGGCAACTAATTTTTTTCGCAAAAGTTGGCAAAAAATCGCCAAAAGTCGCCTAGCTAGGCGACTGGTTGGCGACATTTTTTCTGGTCCCTGTATAACTGTAAAAGTATTATAACTGAATAAATGCAATTGATTACTATATGCAAATAGAACGTCAACCGTATATGCCTTCCAGTAATTTTCAAAAATGGAATTTATTTGAGATTTTTTGCGGTAGGGTGAAAACAGTATAAGACCGCAGACAGCATCTGCTGTAAGTAGTTGTCAGTTCAGATTTGAATTCGGAGAATTGAGATATCTGCTAGTTTTGCTGTTTAGGTTCGCTTTTCATTGCATTGTGTTTAGCGTTTTTAGTAGTTCGAAATCGAATTACTGTTAGTACTCTATGATACGCTGAAGAGTTGTATGAGTATTTTTGTGGAAACCATGAAGTATGGTTAACTGTGAAGGATTGTGAAGTGTTCCTTTCGTTAAAATAAATTTTTCATGGTCTCATTAATTCTATTCTCACTTAATCTACTACTAAGCTGTACGCATGCAACAATTTTTTATGTTAGAAGTGAAAGTGAATGCCTGTTAGGAGCTACTAATGCAACTCGTGGCAGGTTTTGTTGCATTCATAGAAGTGCTGAAATGGGCCAAGAATCTGTTAAGGAAGAGATGGAAGCGGCTTAAGAAAGAGAAAGTGACCTTTAAATCAGTTCAAAAAAAGGCTGAAGCATGTCAGTTGAAAAAGAAAGAGAAATTACTTGCATAATAGAAAATAAATTCGAGGCTATATAAAAGACAGAATAGACACAAAGCTGGAGAAAGTGATCCTCAAGAAACATCAGGTACATCCTCAGCAATCATGAATAATATAAGAATTCGAACTTCAGTTATCTTTGTCAAATATTTTATAATAACTCGAAAACTATATCTTAGGTATCAAAACACAGTTCTGAATAGAGTCAAGTGTCCGAGGTTTCACTGTATTTTAACTGAAATCTCCTCTG